GCTCCAGTACGAAACGGTCCACGGGCGCCATACGCCAGAAGTAAGCTGAGTACTCCGCGTACGCCCCAATACGGGGTACGTCTGGAGCGGCTCCGGGACGTGGCAAACAAAGCCTCGATCCCGTCGGATCATGCGAAAAGGCCTCGTCCAGATCGGACGAAGAGGCCCGGCGATCCCACCCCGCAGGTGCAGGCTCGCGACCTCTCGCTCCACCAGTTCCCAGGCGACCCGCAAGACGAGCGAGCTCGCCCTGATTCCCGGCCTGGGCGGCAGCATTACCGCCGGTCCCAAGGCCAAGTGCAATCTCAAGCACGAGAACACGTTGACGGAGGCGGTCAACCTCAGGGTCCTGTGTTGGACCCGCAGTCGGAGCACTCAGACGAGAGTGGCTCTCGGGAGGCGCCGAGTACTCGTACTCGTACGAGGGCACCTCCGCCTCTGCTTGACCGGAATGGAGAAGTCCACTTCCACGTGGAGCGGATCCTCCAGGAGCAACGGTGTCGCGGTAAGCGACAGCTCCTCGTGAAGTGGAGGGGTTATACTACTCCGAGAACTCGTGGGAGCCGATTGAACGGCTCCTGATTGACTGCCCGAAGGCTGTCGCAATCTGGGAACAGAAGCGGCGGCAGCTTCATAAGTAGTCCGGGGCTTCTCGCCCGAACGGGGTACGGACGATGAATACATACCGTACCCGCGCTCATCGTGAGCGCTAGAAGCCGCGCGCTTTAGGATGTGTCTTGGCAGCATACGCTTGCTGATCAAGTGGGCAAACCTCACACGAAGATCACGCTGGTCCAGGATGTGGGACAGCTGCTGATCTTCATGGAGTTCCCGTAACTCCGTAGGTGAGTACTTGAGAGTCTCCACCCACGCCCAGAACATGTCCTCACAAGAACTCCACGTGGGACAGTTCTCGGGTATAACCCAGGGGTATCCCCAAACAGGATAGAGACCACCCCGGGTCTCGGGCTTCCTACGACAAGTCGTGAAGTCCTTAAGGGGAATGCGGTGTGGCGCGAGAAGCACACACCGAGCAGCCTCCAAGTTGTCGACGAACAACTGTTCTTTCTGAACAAGGTCTCGTTCATAGATGCCTCTAGAAGTGTGACCGCCCACAAGGCCACGAGGAGCGACGAGGACCTCTAAGAAAAGGTCAGCCCCAGAGCTCTCCTCGGGAGGCCAATACCCTCTTGAGTTGATGGCAGCTCCCTGGGTGACGGGTGCCGCCACCGAACCCCCACGCACACGCTGGGCAGCTTGGAATTCCTCCTGCTGCTGGTCGAGGTCATTCGAGACCTCCCGGGGCTCAACGATAGCACCCTCCTCTTCCTCTTCGTCCTCCTTCTCCTCCTCTTCATCCGAGGAGCCGAAGATACTCCGATAGGAGCGACGAGTCTCCTTCTCCTCGCGGAGTGGAGACTTAGAGGCAGTACGCTTCTTTGAGAGCTTGGCGCCTTCGGCTTTAGAGGCCTTAGCACGCGCAAGACCCTCGGCAAGCGAGAGACGTTTTCGAGGATTCTCTTCCTCATCGCCACCGGCTGTGGGAGCGCCCTTAGCCTTGTCGGCCGGACTCTCAGAGCGCACAGAGGTCCTAGGACTGTGCTCACCTTGATCACTAGCAAGCGACTGCACGCTGTCATCTTTGTGTTTACTGGGCACTGGGCTATGCCCTCCCACAGAGTCCGCAGAAGCATCGTGAGTGCTCTCGGACTCGGCATCGTCCTCACTGCCCGAGTTGAACTCATGTTCCACGAACCGAGGGCTCGGACGATTGTCTGAAGATGAGGGCGACGAGCTGCGCGCTTGCTTGCGCGCTTGTCCACAGCCGCGTTACCCGAGGAACCGATCGC